CGTCCCTGAGGGGAGGCGGCGCTTCCGCGCTAGGACCTAGACGCTCCGCAGACACTTGGGACGCGTGGAGGGCTGCTATTCCCGCTGCTCCGCTGCCTAAGTTTTGTTGTTGTTTTCCCCCTTTTTGTTCTGTTTGTTTTCCCTTCCTTTTCCTTCTCCAGCACAATAAATAAATCCCTAAGGTGCAGGGAACCCAGTGCGGTCTGTGAGCTCTGTTCACATCCAGTTTTGCTGTGAGCCTGCACTGCAGGGACCTGGGGTCCTCCTAAGACATGGGCCCGGGGCCTTGTAAACAATAAGCAGGGACAGCAAGGGGAAGAGGCCGCTGCAGCCCAGCAATGCAAGCAGGGTGCTGCTCAGAGCTGAGAGATGGCGTTCAGTGATGCCTAGCAACAAGTGACCCAGCCAGAGAGACTGCCTCCTCATTCCCGTTCTCTCCCTCCCTCTCTTCCTCTTCCTCTCCCTCTCCCTCTCCCTCCATCTCTATAACAATGGGCAATGCTGGTCAGCCACAGTGCACCCAAACCCGCAATTAAATTTTATTACAACAGAAATTCATGGAACAGTTGAAAATGGAAGGGTGCTGGATGATGCTAAAACAAACAAAAGGGCTCTGAACCCAGGCTTGCCTCCTTGATTTTCCTTCCTGGCCCTTAGATACCACCACCAGCAGCAGCAGCAGCAGCAGCAACAACAACAACAACACTATTATCACCTAGGAAGCCCTTACAGCCCCAGTCAGCATCCTAGAGGGCCCAAGGTCCCAATGCCAGAAGCTTCCTTAGGGCCATCTAGGCACCTGTTAAATTTGGGAATCTGAATCTGAATTTTAAATCATACCCAGGTACTTTTGTTTGCACTTTTAATATTTGAGAAGCACATGCCTAGAACACCGCTACTCGTATGGGCTACATTTGGGGTTGTAAAACAATGTGACATTTTGATTCCTTCTCCCAAAGCTGCTGATTTAATTGTCTGGTGTGATGTAGGAAGTGGCATTTCTTTTAAACCTCATGAGTGACTCCAGTGTACATCAAAGTTAGAGAACCTTTGCACTAAGTTACAGATAGATATTTCTAATTAATTTGTTTTAATGGAGGTCTGGCTCACCGAAAGTCTATTTTGGTAAACTTGCTGTGCATTTATTCATCCAGAACGATGAGTCCTGCCTTGTATCAAGCAGTTACACAGTACAAAAAAAAAATAAGGCAGATTTTTACACACACAGTGAGGTGAGAGTTCAATGAGAGCGAAAGTTACACTTCTCCCACTCCTCTGTAACACACTGGGATGCTGAGTGGACCTAGTGGTTTGCGAAGGACTCAGTGGCCGCTTTGTACCTCGGGAAAGATACACAGACCTTCATAGATTAGAGGTGTCATCTAAAAACACATACTTCTAACTAGCTAGTACCCATGGCCTCATGCCCTGACAGCTGACCAAAGTGGAAAGGCAGCTTCATACAAACAAGCTCAGCATCACTCAACATCCTACTTACCAGTGTTTAGAAAGGCTTGGATATGTGATAAATAATAGGGTTGCAGAGACAGAGGAACAGAGCCTGCCCAGACAGAATCACAACTTATTGTGGAGTTTGTGGTCATAAAAATCTTTCTAATCTGAGCTTATCACCAAGTATCTTGAGAAGGTTTATCTGTCTCAGTTTTGTTCTGCTTTCTGAGAGATCTTGCCACTTTCGTGTTCTTTCCTCGGTTCCTCCTCTTTCTTATGCCATCAGCGACTATACTATTTTCTAAGTTCTTATACACATGGTCATGGATGCATCCACACAAGAGCTCAGTAAAAAATAGATAAATTTGGGCCTGGGATTTAGCTCAGCGGTTCAGTGGCCTGCCTCACAAGCGCAAGGACCTGAGTTTGATCCCCGGTACCACAAAAAAAAAAAAAAAAAAAAAAAAAAAAAAAAAAAAAAAAAAAGCTAAATTCACCCTTTTGGAATTCTAGTAAAAGAGAGGTTTTATAACCTGTTGTACTTGGGGACAAAAAGAAAGGATGATAAGATGAAAGCGTACTGTTTACTCAATGATGATGAAAAAGCAAGACCTTTAGAGTGCCAAGGAGTCCTCTGTGCATTTGTCCAGTACGGAATCCATTTATCATCCATTTAGTGAAGATCTCATTCTTTTAAAAAAATTTTTTTTCAGGCCAGCCACAACTTTTCCTCATTAGTATTAATGAGCACTAAGAATGTGTTTTTCCATAAGGTTCACATTATCAACCATAATATAAATCACAGGTATTCTGGATGTTCCCAAGACCAGCCAAAACTCGAGTTCCAAGAGACAAACACCCAACTAAAGTGGCTTAAATGAAAAAATTGGATATTACTGGATCATGTAGTGCCCTTCAAAGAGAGGAAAGGAGAAATGAGGCTCAGGAATGGCTGTATCCAGGAACTTGAAATCCTGGTGGTGTCTCTCATCTGTTTCTTCCCCGCCTCTCTTGATATCATAACTATATTCAGTGAGGTCAGCTTCTCTCCATAATATACATCACAACTGTGGAAATCTACAGGTACTGTTTCTTATATTTCTGGACAAGAGAGAAAATAGTATCTTCTACATCATACCTAATGGGCAGGGATACTTAAAGGTCATTTTGGTGGCTTTCTCTATGGTCAGAGTGACAGGACCTACAGCTGTGCATCCTGAATCTCAATGGCCATTTCCCACCACTTGAGTATAAGATAAGGTTCTGGGAATATGAAAACTCTAGTACCTTATAGCTCAAATAGCTATTAAGACAAAACCATAGTACTCCATAGTGACCTTAGGGCTGAGGCTTGATTTTATCTGTTTTCCAGAAATGCCAATTCAAACACCCACAATCGATAAATTATTTTAGCCACTGAAGGAACAATACAACTAGCATATGTCAATGGTAGGTGACCCAGGCTGATGGCGGTAAGAGCAGAAGTGGCCATTTATACAAATGGGTCATTCCTTGACCTCATAATTTTCAGTCTCAGCTGTACTCTGCTGTGGGGCCTCCTATACATCTTCACATTATACTCATCAGGATACAGAAAGGTTACTGCAGTGGATGCCAGTACAGTTAGTTACCATAGTTTCTCAGGTTGTTACATCATCCCAAATTCTGGAGTTCTGAGAAGTCACAGGATCTTGCAGCATCTTCAGAGACAACCCAAAGGAATGTAGTTTCAGAACAAAAGCTAGTGTCTTTCTGACAATGACATGAAAATTACTGAATCTGTCATGTCCTTTTAGTTAAAGTGAGAATCTCATTTGAAATCAGCCTAGTTACAGTTAGATATACAGTATTCTTACCCTAGCAGCAAGATTACCCAATACACTGAAGGAAAACTATTATTTTATTTCCTTATTTAAAAGGACAAATGGGAGCAATGATTACAGTTAGAAGATATTAATATTACATTCACCTGGCTTCCACATCCAAACTCAATACATTTCCATGGCATAATTTTTATTACTGTCTGGGGATTTCCCCCTTATTTTGATTAAGCAGACCCGGTAAAAGAATTTAAAACGTTGACTCCAGAAAAAGAGACATTTATTTCCTTTTGAGCCTTATTCTTTTGTAATACCTCTTAAAACATAAGCATTATCCCTATTAGAATTTTTTAAATGTGAGTTCTCAGGTAGCTTTAACACAAAGAGTATTTGATCTGCACGTACACAGTCTTTGTTCACATACACTAAAATGGGGTGACACAAGGAGGGGACCAGTTTGTGAAAGGAAACAGGACATGCTGCAATCAGCTAGATAAGTTTCCACTGTTCAAGAAAACATGGACAGGAAATTCGAACTGCAACCTGTTCATCCATATCCTTTTATCCCATGTTAAAGTAGCAGCTCTGCTTATTTTTGGCGGGGTCTCCTGACCCTTCCAATTTGGTCTTTGCCTGTAATACCTGACATGGGCCTTGGTTTGCTCATCTTGACCTGCAATGAGCCTGTTCCTCAACACAGAAAAGGAAAACTCACTGTTCTACTCATGTAGCCACATACACAAAGATGGAGGGGCCCAGAGCTACCAGAAGGTTAGAAGTGTTGTCAAGGCAAGAACAGAGGCTGCCATGTGAGTGGCACATAGCAGGAGCTCAACTAAGAAGAACCTGTTCCTCTGCTTTCGTGCCTAAAGAGGGTCCCAGCATTCATTGGGTTTCTTGATCTCCAAGGTTGGGTCTAAGCCTGAAGATCTCTTGGTGCAGGGAAACATACCAGCCACCAGACAATCAGCTAAACCAGAGTATCCATGTACTAGAAAGCCATACTGTCATATGATTATTCACCCACATGGATTTGGCAAGTATGTTCTTACATGTGTGCTTCGCAGTGAGGGGTGTATTTAATGCTAATAGGTATGGCTTCCCTGCAATACTTCAGAGTTTACTTGGTAAGAAGATATTTGTATCTGATACAGAAAACGAGCTATGCACTATGCAGTGGAAGACACATGGCACCACTTTCGTGCTCACTTTAGTGTTCTCAGTTTCTTTACACTCCTAGATGATTTGCAATTCTATAAAAATCAGGTTTCAACAAAGAAAAGGAAAAGAATATTAATCTTCCAGATGATTAGCCTAAAAAGAAATATTTATCATTTCTTATGCTTGGAGTCTACTTGGAGACTTCATTAAATAATGCTTTGTTAAATCAGAATTTTGTTTGGAAATAATAGCCTTTGGAGTTGCTTCCAGTCAGGATGTCTGAAAAGATCTACTGAATGGTATTTTAATTCTATAAATTCTAAGGATGGGGAAAAATTGAATCTGTAAAGTTGAGACCAAAATGATTTGGAGTTTAACCACTCAATGTTCTCCGTGTGCTCCATGAAAATAGGCTGTGTAGCTTTCTTTAGTTAACACAGAGTAGTTTAAGCTCAGAAAATCAAACCAAACCCTGTGTTGCATAACAATGTAAAACTATGCTGGGATGAAAGATTTTAAATGAACACGTCATCATGGAAGTTACATAACGTTGAACTCACATCTGAGGGGAGAATATCCATAAGCTCTCATATTGTTGAGTTCCTTGGGTTGTTTCTGGTTTGGTTTTAGCATTCATAATTTTACTTTCATAACATTCATTTCATATGCTTTGATGGCCTCTATCAAAACTGCCTTCCAAACATTTTCTTGCCATTGACCATTCTAAATCCCACCCCAAGCTATTATCCTTCTCACTTTATTCTGAGTCTCCTTCGGCTGTTAACTCTTTACCTATTTCCTATTGTCTTTATATTTTTTATCCTGAATCATCAAATGATGATGAATAACCATTTCTTTGCCAAGGAAAATATCATTAATTACCTCCATTTTAAGGGCTTAGTCCTATCCCATTTTATTTCAAATGTCATAGTTCTACCTCAGAACTTCAGAATATAAATTTTAATTCTTAGACAAAACATAGGGATTTACTTATTGTGCTAAACAGAAAAGGGATATTTCATTTTTATTTGCATTGGAGCTCTTCCTTTGAATTTATTTGCACAGAATTTCATCACGGAATTTTTAGATTTTTTTTTAATAATAATTAACAAGGAATAGGAAGAATTTTGTTGTGGTCTAAACCAATCCATATTTGTTATTATTTCAGTTAAGTGAAAATATCTTCCCTAAGTATGGTTGTAAGTTAAGGATATTATTTTACTTCTAATCTTTAAGCAGTTATTTGCTATTTTTAGCAGTTGTACTTGTCTTAGCCAAGCCTTCCACGTCTCATTAATTGGTCTGATTACTAATTATAGCTAGAAGTATAGACAGAATTACAAAACAGAAATTATTTTGATACTCAAGGACACTAAATACCTTTTTAAAGGGTATTTTTAAGTGTAATCCGGTAAGTTGCTTGAGATAAATTATAATTTTAAATGTTAATAGAAAACAGAATGGATGATAAGTTAGTCATTAGAAACAGGAAAACTAAGTAAAAGTGCAAAATTTTTGAAATTCATTATTTAAATCAAAACTTATTAAATTTGGAACCTTAGTCCATATTTTAAGACCCATACTTAGCAGAGTGAAGAGAAGAATTGAGACAATTATCCACATGATTCAGACAAAAAATAAAGATCCAAACTCAAACATTTTTGCCTAAATAATCTTGTGTTTGAATATTTTTTTGCCTGAATTTTTTTGTCTCAGTTTATTACTTCATCTTGCTAGGATGTTATCTAAATTTAAAATTTATTTTTATGAAAATTTTCAACTTGGATTTTATTTGATGCCTTCATTATTTTTTACTATTTGAAAACTAACTTATCAGAAGTTCTTCAATCCAATGTCCCCTTAAAAGTTTTGCATTTTTTCTGAAGCAATATAAAAAATGCTTATGGTGTGTATGCAAGCTGCTGTTTTAATTAACTTTCCTGAATTTCAAACATCTATATTTTACTCTCTTATATGCTTTTAACTAAGGTATAGTAGATGCATTTTTGCTTCAATACTAATTTAAGGTGTAATATTCATTTCTTTAGAGAACATTTTTGTTGTTGTGCATGCCTAGTGTTTTGTACGTTGTATATTGCATTCAGAATATTTTTTTCCTTCTCACCTATCCACAATGCAATGCCGTTCCCATGATGCACCTCTGCTTGCTGTTTACCTGTATGTTAATTCGCTTGAATCCCATTGGCCCACTGCCATCATGTGCTCGCTGCCTGTTATTAAAAGACTCAGTCGACTGCCAAAGCAATGAAGCGACCTCTCGAAGCAACTGTAGACCTGGTACTTTGACCTTTCACCTTTCGCTTTGCATGTAGCTTTTCAGAGAACCATCTGAGATTTGTATTACTTGTAAAATATTGGTTGCAAACAATCATTATTATTAATTTTTAGAAAAAATTCAATAAGGTGTTTAGCCATCTCATTTTCATATGTAATCTGTGAAATAAATTAATCCTAACAAATTTTAATACCTTTTCCAAAAGAGTGAAGCAAATTTACTTGGCTCAGAAAAATGCTCATTATAATTCTTATTAACCTTTAAATTCAAGAAATTGCCATTTAGTTAAAGAAAAGAATAGGTATTAATAACACAAATGCTTCTTTCTCCCACCCGTAGAATAGTTTAACCCATTTTAAAAGCTGAAGCCATTTTTTTGTTGTTGTTGTTGCTTGATAGTTTTTCTTTTCCTTAGTTGAGATGCTACTGTTTTGGGTTATAGAAATCATGCTTTTGCTCTCAATAACAAATTCTCACTCATTCGACATTGCCGCTGTTTAAATTAAGGTGCATGGCAAAGGCATCTCCTTAGCTGTCGGTTTTTTTTTTTTTTTTTTTAAGAAAAAGAAAAAGAAAACAATGTTTCAATTGATGATCTCTGTGGACACAGAAGGAATGTTTCCTTTAAATTAGACATATCTTATCGAATTCTTCATTTCTAGGCCTTTCCTCCTGGTGCTCTTCATCCTTTACCAAAGAGACAAGCACTTGAAAAAAGCAACGGTGCCAGCCCGGTCTTCAACCCCAGCGTCTTGCACTACCAGCAGGCTCTGACCAGTGCACAGTTGCAGCAGCACACCGCGTTCATCCCCACAGGTACGTGCCCTCACAGTCCCACGTCTGTGTCCTCGTGTCCTTCCGGTCATGTGCTTTCTTCTCATTTCTTTAAGCTGTTTGGTGGAATCTAGTTTGCATTTAAAGGTACAATACAGCCTGAAATGTATCATTGTTGTAGGTATCTAGGCATATTGACCTTGCTTTGATAGCTAAACATTTAGGATTCTAAAGCCAAATATTTGATAGGGTTGAGTGACAGATTCAACCCATGAGAAGTGGAGAGCAGTTAGGGCTTCTGGTTTTTCTTGTATTCAAATGAGGCCTTTGTAAAGCTGTTATGTAAATAAGACCTTTTACATGTGACAACTGAAATTTGTCCCTAACAATGAATGACCTAAAAATATCAATTCCAGTAAATACTAACCTTGTTTTTTTTTTCTATTTCTATTCAGAGCACTAAAAAAAGCTATTCAAATTAAAGCAATCCCCTACTCATATTTTTATATCCATTCTGTCTCTTTTTCCATCTTCGACTTTCACCAAGTTCACAAATCTGTAGAGCTCTTAGTCAATGCCTGATAATATGAGGTGCATTAACTTATTATTTCACTAAGATCAATTATATGAATCATAAAATCACAGAGTTTAAAGGATCCTTAGTGATCTCCTCATCCAGATGTTTTACAGATGAGAAAACTGAGGCCCCCCCCATAAGTGACTTTCCAAGGTGGCACAACCTGAAGAAGGTAGAGAACCCAGGTTCCCTGTGCTAGTCCAATTTACATACATCACACCACACATCCAGTCTCTATGTATGAATTCCACATGGTTCTCAAAAAAAAAAATCAGATAAAAGTAGATTTTTAAAAATGCAGCATAACAGACAAGCTATGGGTGTACAAACAAAAGTATAAGGCATGTCAGCTCTCCCCCATTTGAGCACTTGGCTGACCACAGACTCAGGAAGACACACCCACTATACACAGACAGTTACCATAACTTGACTGTGGTTTTCCTTGTTTGTCTGTGTCAGAAGCAGGAGATGATTTAAACCTTGGTGGAAAGACTATCCATTGAGCTTTTTGTTTCAAAGTCAAAAGTCCTTATCCCATGATACTGAGTTGAAGGTAAATGTAGATGAATAATAATTTCATTAAGAAGAGTTATTGATACTAATGAATATGACTGAACTTCTCCAGTGGGTTATTCATTCTTTTAAATTCCATAGCATATCAAGAGTTAAGACTAGAGGGAGTTAAATAAATGTGCATAATATTCTTTTGTGTTACAACTATACTCTTACATGAATTAGTAACTAGTAGACAACTATATTTAGTATATGAAAAATATAAATTATGTAAGCAAAATTATTTTTAGCATTTAACTTTCTTATATTAGTCCTGTACTTATCTTGAAAGAAACTCACAGACTTGTAAAGGGACTCTAATTCAGTACATTTCAGTTTTTCCCTGTTGTAACCTTAGTGACATGCTGTGCTATTACAACATAGCAATATTTGTACCTGGAACCCACTTAAAAATAACATAATCATTAAATAATTACTAGAAGGTCAGCTTACCCTGCGGTATTGTATGCTTTCTGCAAGTGTCTCATCATAGAACTCTTGACCAACAGTGTAAGAGACAAAAAAATTAAGGAATAATATACTGAGGGGAAAAACATAAAAGAACAAGCCCGTTTGGGAGAAATAGGTCATAATCCCTTCACCATCTCCTGAGAATACCCATGAAACTCAGGAGCTCAGCCTCACAAGACTGTGAAGCCCTCTAATGCATATTTTAACACTCTAGGCCAATAATGACTGATTGGTTAAAGCACTGAAAGAATCTTCACTTAAAAACATTTCACCTGGAAACCACTCAAATATTTCCAAGGCAAGGATGAATACCATCCAAATCAATAACCTGACTGTTGTTGATGAATATATTTTATGTTGGACCATATTGGGTATTAGTTGCTGTGGTTGTGCACTTCTGCCCTCTGGTGGATTCTCTTGGAACAACTCAGATGTGCTGGCCACCCTCCTAGAGTGGGCTTTGGAAGTCAGGGTGCATTGGCCCCTTATACTGGGAATCAGAGGTGTTTCCACCTGTTATGTGAGATAAAGATCACAGTGAAAAGATATGTGGATGTTATATTCTGAGATGGTATTTAAACTTTCAAGAAATGTTTACATTTCTCTTAAATGATGAAAGAGAAAATAATTTTATTTAAAGGAAATTAGCATAGTCTTTCTCTCACTTAAATCCATAACAAAAGTTTCAGTGTTTATGTTAGTTCAAGTTTTTGTTTCAGGGTTTCTTTCTTATAAACTACATTTTCAACCTTATTTTAAAAATTATAATGATAATATTCATTGTTAATGATGGTTTTTTTTAAACCTCTACATGTCAAGTGATGTTCAAAAATAATTTTTGTAACTGATGGGCCCATTATTTTTATATGGGCAAATTTTGTTTTTTTGTAAATGCTTTACATAAGCAATTATCATAAATATGAAGCAAAAAGACATATTTTTGTCCTCCCAGAGGTTATCCTTTATTGCAAGGTCATTCCTAGAAAAGCTTTGATAGGCTACTAAACTCTCCACAATGTGAATATGGATTTTTTTTTCTTTTTGATAGGGATTATTTTAACCAAGTAGTTATACTTTTTCTTTGCTATGTTAGGAATATGGCAAAAGCACACATAGTTACAGAAATAGCAGAAAATAATTCTTGGCATTTCTCTGACAGGTTTATTCTGAGTTACTGCAAGTGTCTTTATAGATATTATCTCATTATTCAAGATGTTGCTCCGTTAGTGGCACGAATAGTTATTTGCATTTTGCAGATGGAAAAACTGAGGCTGTGTCTACACTGCAATATGATATGTAAAATTAGTGAAATTATCCAGATCATTCTGGCTCATGCACTAGAGCTGAAATATTTATGCAACTGCAGCAGAAAATATATGAGAAGGCTTTGTTCATGGAATTAGTGTGCTAACAAAAAGCCTCATCTGGTTAGGACAATGGCAACCCACAGAGTCCTTCCCTGGTTTGTTTCATTACTTCAGAAGCACAAGATAAGTTACATGGGGAAAAGTGCTATCCTGGACATGGCCCAGTGATAAGAAATCATACATATTACATAAGGTCAACATATAGCTTGGTGAGAGATTTATCAGTGTTCATCAGAAACTATATCCGAATAACCACAGTAAGATTTATCTGTTCCATTCAATTCACCAAACATTTCTTGGACACACAGTATGTTCTGAGTTCCACAGCCAGTGATGAAAATGCAAAGGAATTGAGAAATAGTTGAAAACCAAGTACAACACACAGAATTCAGGGTGGGCTGAGGGTCTGAGTGTAAAGGAAAGAAAAGGAAGCAATGTGTTCTGCCTTCTGCAAGCACTACAGTTGGTGGTTACAAATGATATGAAAAAAAGAAGACTATCTAGAGGAGGAAAAATGTGCTTGAGACTTTGAAAGAGAATGAGAGTTTACCCTTGAGGGAAGAGCATTCCAGACAGGGATGGGAAGGGAGCATCTGAAGAACAGGAAGTTGTTCACTGAGGCTGTAGTGCAAAGTGTTCATCGAAGGGTGGAAGGGAAGATGGCAGAGATGCAGCTTGCACATCTGGACCAAAATCTGGCATTAGGCAAGAGAGCCACTCACATGGCAAAAGCTTTGTTTGTCCAATATTGGCATCTGATTGGGCCAGGCAGAGAAAAAGGCTTATCCAATTAATTTGGTTGATCATTTCACCACCTCTAGGACCAAAGACAAAGAGACATAACCACCATGAGCCCATAGTGGCTACAGGAGCTGCTACTGGTTGTCACTCAGATGATGCTAGTATGCATGACACAGGAAAGCCCTCCAAGAAAGCCTGTCCATTTTGGAACTCAAAAGAGTGAGGGGATTTTTATAGGGGTTAATTTTGAATCATTCACAAGCTTGTGGGCTTTAATAAATTTTAGGAACACACTGTTCCCAAATCACCTCTTTCTGATGTCGAAGTACATTCATCCAACATATTAACCACCTATGGTGTGACTCATAGACTTAGCCAGACAGGATCTCTGCCCTTCTGACTTTACAGGAGAGGAGAGATGGATGTTCAACAAATACTCACATAAATATATAATTTAATGTTTTCAGAGTACTATGAATGAGAGAACATAATGAGTTCAATGAGATTAAAATAGAAAACTGATTTACGTGGCTTGGGAGGTAGGCAAAAGAACAGTTGAACAGTTTTCTGAAAAAGTGGCACGTACCTTGAGACCAGGAAGATGAAAAGAGAGGGTGGATGACTATTCTCGACAGAGGGACAGCTTATCAGAAATAGGAAAGAAGTGTTATGTGTTCTGTTCAAAGCAATGAAAGGCTCATCTGTCTGGATTCTGGTGTCAGGGAAGACAGGTATGGGCCAGCATGGAAAGGTGGCCAGATCCCGACCTCAGCAGTCTTCATCGCACAAGCGGAAGAAGCCAGCAGATCATTTTCAGCAGAGGAGTGGCCAGGCATACAATGAAAGATGCTGACTCTGTCAGCAGACTGGAGAATGACTAGGGAGGGAATGAGGAGGCCAGTTAGGGTGTTGTCACATAGCCAGGATTAGAGATAATGATGACCAGGACTTGAGAAGCAGGAGTAGTGATGGACAGACAAGTGCAAGTTGCATTTCAGAAGCAGGATTACTTTGGCTTATTGGTGAATTGAACCTGGGAATGTCACAAGGGCTAGTAGCATGAGACATAACTTCAGGCCAGAGCTCTTCATGGACAGTGATGCTTACCAGGTATTTGAGATAAAGCTTGAACTTGCTGAATTGGAGATCCAAGAGGCCAGACAAGCACTTAGAAGGACCAGAGCTTAGAGAGGAGATCTGGGCAGGACACATAAATGTGGAAGCCATAAACTCATAGATGGTATTTAAGTCCATGTGTTGAATGACACAGCAGGAAAACATATAGAGTAAATGAAAAGAACCCAGAACTGAGTCTGAAAACCTCCAGCACATAGAGATATAGACCTCAAGGAAGGAAGAGTAAACACAAAGCAGACAAAACAGGGAAAACGTGTGTGTGTGTGTGTACACGTGCGCGTGCATGTGTATGTGATCAAAACTCTAAGGGAAAACAGTGGTTTATTATGGAGGCAGTAGCCAGGTGTGAAGTGCTACTGAGACTCAAGAACAACAGATTAATGTGCAAGAGTTTCCACCAACTGCAGCAGTGTGGAGTTTTGTTTGCCTCCGCACCCCAGTACTGGGGATTGACCCAGGACCTTCTCACTCACCTCTATCCCCGGATTTCTTGCCTTCTTCTTTTTCTTCTTTCTTTCTTCTTTTTTTTAATTTGTAAATTTTTTAAAATTTTTGAAACATGGTCTCACGAAGTCACTAAGTTCCCAGGCTGGACTCAGACTTGCCTCAGCCTCCCACAGTGGCAATGTGGATTTTTTTTTCCTGATGACTAACATTTGCAGTTTGAGTGGAAAGGTGAAAATGAAACCAAACTGGAGAGAAGTAAGCAATAAATAGAAGCAAGGATGTGAAAATTTATGTGTAGGTAACTTTTCAGACGTTTGTGAAGGTGCGAGAGACAAAACTGGAGAAAGCAATTTTGAGGGGTAAGTGTATGTGTGTGTTAAAAGTGGGATGGACTGGCACATGTTTGTTGAAGAATCTAGTAGTAGCCCAGTTAAACTGCCCCTTTTTCTGAGTAGGTAATGCTAGCCCGATCAAAATGCAGATCAGGGAAGAAGTCTCCCTCTGGTATGAAGTACTCAGCAAAGAGAATAAAGATGGACAAACTTCACATTTCTCATCTAATATCTCAGAAGGCAATTCTGAAAGTTTAAGTGGGTACACATATGTTCATTACAAATCACTTCTCTGACACCTACATCACACCTAATCATCAGTTATTAAATCCATATATTACCTAGATTTTCATTCTAAGGAACTGAGCAGGTAATCCCTCAAAGCTGTAAATCAGGTTTTTTTTTTGTTTTTGTTTTTGTTTTTTGGCTCTCCACAACCATATTTCTATCAAGGTCAGAGTGTTCTGATTCACGTACACTGTAAGACCACCCACAGGTAAGACAACTACTCCTAAGGGAAAGCTGCAACCCCTGCCCACCTAGACACCAACTTGGGATTTCCCAGGAGTTCTGCTAACAGCCTATGTCAGGTAACATTTCACGTAACTCTGAAAAAATCCCTGAGCCTGAGTCCTAATTCAGCCCTAATTCTGCACTGACTTGCCTCAATAGTGTAGACTTCCTTGCTGGGTGCCCTTCCTTTGTCAAAGAATCTTAGATCAGAAAGTAGCTCACAGACTTCTGTGAACCATCCTGCCCTATCTTCCTACATTACTGGCTTTCATGCAGTTTATAATCAAACCAATTTTTTATTTGATTTTTTATGTATAATTTGCATATAATCAGACTAAATTTTAATGCAGTGAGTGCAGCAAAATCTAGTGAATAGAAGATCTGGATTGAGGAACAGAGTCCTATTTTGAGCCTTGCCCTTGACTCACACTAAGCATGACCTTGGAAGAGTTACTATGCCTCAGGTTTTTCATCTGTAAAATACTTCCTATGTCAGAGGATTAATCTGATAAAATACATTCTGTAAAATACACTGAGATCTTAGAGGAAGCATACCATGGCATTATCACATGTCATTCTGATTAGAATCATGTCAATGTATATGAATAGAAAGTGTGAAAAGTATTCTAAGAGTAAGTTTGGAATATTATTGGCTTAAAATAAAGTCAGATATATTTGTGTCTATACTGATAATGTGAACAGCCGAAAAAACTGTGTTAACTAACCCTACTTATTTCTGGTTGTGCTTCAATCTCACTTTGAATGTTAACTCTAAACCGCTAACCTGTTTCTTTCCCTTTATTCACTTTTTCCACCCACCATTGCATGACATCAGGGTCAGTTTTGTGCATGACACCCGCTACCAGTATTGGTAGGTTTCAACCTTTTTTATTTGTCTTTTATATGATGTACAGTACCTTCATTTGTTTGAAATTTATTTCAGAGGTGGTAGAAATGCTTTAGGTAATAGATCTAACATTTAGGAAATAGATCTAAAGGCTTATTTGGCTTTAGAGTTAACATAGGTTTTTAAAGATGTACTTCTATATTTAAGAAAATGAACAGTTTTAATGTGAACTCTTCTACTAAAACAATCACTACAAAAACATAAAGCCACATGTATGAGTCTGCTTTTTAATGATTTGTGTTTTGTTTCTCTTTATAGTTTATCTGATATAGCATAAGAAAATCAGGCAGGCTAATTTCATCAATGTTTTAAAGTTTCATAGTGGTGTGCCTTTATCTCCTCTTTGCTGTGTGTTAGAGTTATCAGAGTTTCCCAGAAGTATTTTTTTAATTACATATCGATGTATTTTGAAACCAAGTCTGAGTTGCCTTGTTTATACTTTTAAGTGCAAATTTATGATGTTTCGTACCTCCACATTCCCTTACATATAAAATTTTAGTAGTCTATAACTAGCCTCACACATTTCAATGTCTTGATACAAAAGTCTCTCTAGGACATATGGATTAGTTCTCCATAGAATCCAGAAAAATAAACATTGGCAAAATTTGTCTGGCTATTTCAGAGAAACTATGTTAGAATTTACATCAAGACCATGATTTCTGCTCCACTGTTAATTGATCAAAATAAAACACAACCCACAACAATTACAGTATAAGGAGCAATGCCAAATTAAAAGAAAATTCAATTCAACCACAGTTAATTCCAAAGAACATCTCATCCCAAATTAGGCCTACAGATATTTTAGAATTTATGAATATTCTAGATTTGATTATGACATAATCTTACTTCATTGGCTATTACCAATCATATTTTTAGAAACAACCATTAATTACATTTACTATATACTCTGAATTGGGAATGGAGCTATTATTAGAAATAAAATATTTATAAATACATCAACCAAAGTAATCTGCTTTGGCCTTTCTGGGAATCACTGATTATGTTTTAAAACTTCCTTTAATTGTACTTGTAATAAGCTATTTTCCCTTTTTTATTTCTCTCCCATGCTTCCTTGCTTTGCATTGTGATTGCATGCCATCTGCTGGTTTAACCCATGATGGCTTGCTGCTCTGATATTCACCATGCCAAAATACCACTTCTATTACCATAATGCTACACCCTCCTGTTCATTGCTCCCATGGTTCCCCTCCTGAAAGTACCCATGATGCACAGCGCTACGTCCGCCACTGTCTCTGCAGCAACAACTCCTGCAACAAGTGTCCCCTTCGCAGCAACAGCCACAGCCAATCAGGTTTGCTCCTTTTAAAGCTTTCTTTCACAAATCCCAAACTCTAAATGAGTGCTGATATTTAAAAAAAAAATTCTCGGTGAGAATTTTTTTTTCATGTTTATCCATCAAATTTTATTTTTTTAATTAGTTTATAGCAAGCATTTATGGACAGGTTGCACTTATTTAGAGTTAACATTTACTGCAAATAATGATGTAGCTATGTTTTGTGTTGCACTGTTTGTTTTCGTACCTAATATTGTGTAATTAACCTGACAGGCTTAAATTCCTTTTAGTACAGCATTACTTATCCAGTGGTTTGTGAATTACCGCATAAATTGTAGAAGTGAACCCATGGTTGCTTCAGAAATGGCTCTATTTTGATTTGGATCATTCAGACCCTATCATCTCCCATGGAAGCAAAAAAAAAAAAACCTTGGAAAAGGCTTCCCTTTTTCCTAAGTTTCCAAATTAGAGGTCTGAATAATTCTTATTAACATCTGACTTTGTGCATAGATGCCACAAAACTCACTCAGTCCCCACTTGACAATCTGTTCAGATGCTGTTGTAAAAGCCAAACCATACTGGAAGGAGAGCAACGTACCACTGTGTTCACAAAGGCTGGATATAACTGATTAGGAGAGTTTAACTCTGTTGGTTTAATGCATGTGCCAGTAAGACCATGGATGGATGTGATATTTCCTAGTGAGAGCTAGATGACTGTTTCCTACTCTGTGGTCAAAAGCTGACTATGCCCCTGACCCTGCTGACCAGCTTATCCCCATGAGCTCCTGTCACAAGGACACGGGTGTGAGACGACTGAGCTTAAGCTCTCACCTTGCCTAGTAAAATACTTTATTGCGCATGCCCTCCCCTTCATAGAAGAGCAATTTTGTTCTTTGTTTAGTTTTATGTTTCATTGTGTTTTTAAAAATAAGATGGACTGTGCTAATGAAAGATGAAGACAGATATCTGAATAGACTGGAGGGAAGGGCCAGGCTATTAGGGAAAATGATAACTTGAGCATTAGGGGAAATCATGTCAAGGCATAAATGGTCCATTCCAGATAGCATCCTGTTGTCTGGAAGGGATGATTCACACTCAAGTAAAGATGAGATCCTGTGCTCTAAGTTTCATCACTAAGTGGAAAGGTGTGAGTGTACTGGAAGGCAGGAATAGAAGTTAAATCCCAGGGCAGCTCCTACTATGACAAAGCAGTAGGGAGCGAGGAGGGAGTAAGGACAGGCCAAGGGGACAGTACAGAGGCAGACATAAACCATGCAATTCCCTGCATACCTCTAAAATGCTAAACCATTCGACTCAGCTTCCAAACGAGTATTAAAACAAGCAGCAAATAAACGCCTTAGTTGCGGAGATTATTACTTTTTAAAATCATGTGATGGGAAAAACGAGAGACTGCATCCTTCTTATTAGGCTCAAAGCTCCTCGTGTCATTTGTCATTCTTTTTATGGAAACTGGATACTTGTTTCTTTTAAGTCTAAATCCCGCCTCCACCCACCAAAGTCCCTTCCTATGAAAACAGATTTGAAGTATAATAATATACCTAGTAGTATTTATCACACTAAAAAATGTACCTGTACTTTACAGCAAGTGGAGCATTTTTGAGGCCTAGAGATCTTTTCCAGGAAAGAAAAGGATAAATAAACACTTAGGATAAATTCTATAATATATTATGAACATTTGGCCATGCATCATATACACTTTTTCACCATAGTGATTCTTTTTGCTTCCGTTTGAAGAGATTGCAAGCATACATGTAAGTTTGTGTATGTGGAGGAGGTAGGGTAGGTAGCGTGGGCTACTGGAGCTAAAATACATCACCTTAAAGGAGGTGATTAGTGAAGGAGCTAACAAGTTTAACTTCAGTTTAATCCAAACAAACATAATTTTAAAAAGACCCAACTAGTTTAAAGAATCCAAGATTCTGTGTTTTTCAGGTATAATAGTTGCTGTTGTATCACATGTAAATGATGAAATCTTGGCAATTCTGATGAAGGTCTGCTTGCATATGAAAACCACAGAGAAATAAATTATTGTAAGCCTAAATCTTCAGATGTATATTTTTATATATTCTTAAACTTCACAGAGAAAAACATTTACAAAGGAATTTGGGCATTCTTCCACCACCTAAGAACAGAAAGCAGAGATTGCTAATGACTGTGAAAAAACAAGTGATCATCCTGTTAAAACCTTACCCTTTGAACTCAGATCAGGCTGGGCGTGGTAGCACATACCCGTAATTCCAGCACTCCTGACGCAGAAGAACTGCATGGAGTTCAAGGCCGGCCTGAACTACACAGTGAGATCTTGTCTCAAAATATCAAAAGTAAAAAATAAATAAACTCAACTCAGTTTATGCAAATTACAAGTCATTTAAACATAACAAATCTCACTAGATGGCCTCTAAGATTGAGGAGTATTATGTAAAGGCCAAAGCAGCAATCCAAAAGGTAAACACAAGCAGAATGGAGAGTGGAGCTAAAGATTGAAGCTTGTGGAATGATAAGCATCCTGCCTTCTTGTCCTCCCTTGAGCCATCTGTCTGTCACCCAAAAGGCAGTTGGGTTTTGACAGGTTTTATTTGTTTTGCTTTGCTTTTTCTGATTCAGTCAACTCAGATTGTCAGTTTAGATATTTCAAGACTCATAGGTACTTGTAATTAGACACAAGATATTCATAGGAGAAAGAAAACAAAGATTTCCCATGTTAAGGTTTCCAGTCCAGTGTTCTTTACATGTTACCCCATGGTAGGCCCACGGGACATGCAACCCATCCGCAGTTATATCCTCAGGTTCAATCACTAATAAGTTTTAACCAAACTTAAACTGGTTATTTGAAATTAAATAAAAGCATAATCTAAACTAAATAAACAAAAGCAGAATCTAAGAATTTTTTTAAAGTTTTGATTGTTAAGCTCTAGGAATAGATATGCAAACAAAAATATGAGTAAATTTATTAAGAGCTATTTCCTATTTCAAATAAAATCTGGGTTTTAATACAAAAATTATACATAATATATTATTATTACTAACCATTTCTATACCAGGTATGATTCTAAATAGTCTCTCTAATATGTTATAACTTATATATCTGATATTTTCCTCCATTATATATTATATGAGAGAATACATATATATTCATATAGATATTTAATGCTTATGAGACGGGTACAATTTCCCTCACCCTCATTTTACAAATAGTAAAACTAACAGAAAGGTTAACTACATTAACCAAAGTCGTATCACTGATCAATGGTTCTGCTAAATTCAAACCCAGGCAGTCTAGTCCAGAGGCCTTGATCTTAACCGCCATGGTACACAACCTCTTTCTATAATTATGAATACACAAAAGTAGTTTTTCCTGAAGTAAAACTGTGTCCGGCGAACAAAAAGCACCAAACTCCATTGCTCTAAGAGGAAATGAAGGAGTCCTGCTAATGCTGCTCAAACGAAGGAGGGTCATGTGGTAGGAAGATTAACTGAGTTTGAGCATAGCTGCTAGCTAGTTTTGTGATAGCCAGGTCATACTTAGAAACCACGCAGTTGATCTCATAGATTCTATGCGATATTACAATCAGTAAAAATAAAAATTTCTGTAAAAGATAACCTAAGAAATAATTAGTCATAAGTCTTTCTTAGGGAAGCTGGTTCAAGG